AAGATTTATGGCTTCTGAGGAACAGGTTGTGGACTATAAAATCCTGAATTAGAAGTAATGATGGGAGGGAAAAGAAGCTATCCACTTGGTCCTGACACAGATTACAGAGAGTTTAGGGAGTTCTCCAAAGGCGACATTTTCATCTCAACTGTGGATCCTAATCAGGAAATAAATTTAAAATTCTGGGAGGAAAAGGCCAAAGAGATGCTCATAAATAAAGGCAGAAAGCTCTGATAGGCTTTTTCTTACGCTGCAGCAAGCAGGTCCAAAGTGAAAAACTACAGGGACAAGCCCAGCGGCCAAGCCAGGCTCAGGATCCTGGAGTTGCCTCTGCTTCCCAAGCCATGAGGCCACATATTTCTGGTGTAATCCTATAGTGCAAAGCCACAGTCAGTGAAGGTCCCAGCCTTCTGTGACAAGAATCATAAAAGAAGAAAGAGATCACATCATATCTGAGTTTCAAGTTCTCCCTCATATTTTTACATATTAGATTATCCACACATAAGAAGTTGTCAAAATGACCCTGAGATGAAGACTCCTATTGTTTTTAAAAGTCAAAACAACTCAGAATACGAAATTTGAATTTCATTGCCACATGTCAAGTATCAAACGCATTAGGAGACACTTTCCTTCTCCTACTAGAAGCCTCACTGCCTTGGTGGAGGCCAAAGTCATTGTAAATCATTTCTCAGAAGCCCATGTGCAGAGGGGGCAGGAGGCATCCCTGGTTGCTTGTGTGCCAAATAGATTCTGTTTGTCCTGAGAAAACAGACAGAACACAGCTGGGGCTCTCCTGATGCTTTAGAAACGAGAAAAATACCACATTTTCTTAAATGTCAGAGAATGGTGAATTATTTCAGGGAATGGGGAGGCCATCCTGGGCAACAGGCTCATTATTTTGAGGTGAGAAGAATTGATTTTGACAACACTGGCTTTTAAGGCTATGGATTCCACTACCCAGGAGATGTAGTTTAGAATGGACACACGGGACATGGGTCAGGTTTTTAATGACCAATTTAAGGGGCTGTAGATTTAGCTGACAGGTTTAGATTTTAATTAAAGATAAAGTTATTGGGCTATTGTATATCTGTGAGAAAGTCTGGTCTCTTGTATTCTTTTATTCAAAATTTCTTTTTCAAGTTTTTAAAATATAAATTTTTAGTTGAAATATGACAGGCAAGTATATACAGTGTAACAGTACAGCTTGATAATTGTCACAAGGGAAATGTTACCACAGACCTTCAGTTCCTTCTTCCTCTTCTAGTAACTTCTATTCCAAGAAGTAGCTGTGGTGCTAACTTTGTCACTGTTCAAAAAATCGGACCAACACTGTGACAGTTGATCTGCACTGAGGCATCTCAGAAGCTTTAGCTGTGTAGACGGCACTCTAACCACTCTGCTTAACTCTGGAGACCTCCTGTTGTAGGAATCCCAGGCATGGAGTGGCTGGTTCACAGGTGGGAGCCTGTCACCTGCTCACACAGGTAAAGGTTCTCTGTGGCTGTACCCAACCAACCCCCCCCAGGTATGTGACATCATATCCCAGCCAACCACTGTAATACTCATTGAGGCCTTATATCTCCAGACTGAGAGGGGCTTGAAATTAGCCCCCTATTAGATGTATAAAATTAATTCTAAAGTCATAAGATAATTCTTTCCTAGTACACTGAAAATAGTTGTAATTTAGCCGGTGGTGGCGCACACCTTTAATCCCAGTACTCGGGAGGCAGAGCCAGGCAGATCTCTGTGAGTTCGAGGCCAGCCTGGGCTACCAAGTGAGCTCCAGGAAAGGTGCCACACAGAGAAACCCTGTCTCGAAAAAAAAAGTTGTAATTTTATCACAAGGTAGCAAAAGCCGTTGTATCCTGACATAAGCCCCCTCAATGTGTGGGTCTGTATACAGCCTCATGTATATTCACATTTAATCACCAGATCTACCCTCTGTTATTTTAAATATCCAATTGAATATCTATTTCTCACTCCCTTACTCATCTCATGCTCTAAAGTGCATGGAGAGGGGCTCTCAAGGGATGGGAGATAGAATTTACTAGTATAAAAAGGAATAACTGAACAAGAATGTTTAAATTGAGGTGGAAGGGTGGGGGACAGAGTAGAGTAATGAATATGGGGAAGGATTAAAACCTCTAAAGAGATTATGATAACACACACACACACACACACACACACACACACACACACAGCTAAAATGGAGTTACCATATACAGGGCAGTAATATCCCTATTAACCACCAGAAGTTAACAAATAAAAAGCCCAATATTAGGGATGGGTTAATTTTCTTGGTGCTGTTGGCCCATAAGATTCCATAGACCTCAAACATCAAAAGTATTTTCCATTGGTCTTGGTTACTCTGCAGAACATGATGGTGTGAGACTCTACCATGTACTTGAGTCATAGAACATGGTAAAATCAAGACAGCACTGACCTGGAGGATTCATCCCTATGGCCAGCCTTCATAATGCTGGAAGGTGCTATGTACACATCTCTGGAGAGTGAAAGCAATCACTAATCTTACCCAGCTGTGAACTGTGAAGGCACAACAATTGCTGGCCTGGCAAGACATGCCCAACAGTGGACAAGCATCAGGGGAGTAAACAACCACTTTACAGCTGGATTTAAGGCCTGCTCTGCAAGGTGAAACCCACACCTGGCACCATTGTCAGGCAAGAACCTGTGACTAGACATGTCATAGGTCCCGGTGAAGAACATACCATTATGCTACTAAATATACATAGCAGTAAACTGACTCCTAATGACTTTGCATTGTAACAATAGATCAGTGAACCTCTCAGCCTTCATCAGAGAAGATGCTATTTGTGGTGGATGGTAATTAACACAGAGACCCAGAACTGGCCAAGGTTCAGAAAACAACAGACTATAGAGTGCTCAGCTCTAAAGGGAAGACATATACAGTACCCTTCCCCAAGGCTTGAGATCATTGCAAAAGAGGGGGTGGAATGTTTAGGTAGCACAGATTGGTCTTGAAGGGATTTTTTTAAAGAAGGGTTTAAAGTTGGGTGGGTCACAAGTGGCTGGATCTGGGAAATACAATCAAAGCATATTGTACAAAACTGGAAACTCTCAAAGAACTAATGAAACTAAAAAATTAGTGTTGTGCACCATATTGATGCTTGGAAGTAATTTCTAACTTTTGTAACTAAAGTACCAATGATTTCCAGTGAATGCTCTGGACAGAGAAGGATTTGCACTAAAATATGCTAAATGAGTTGTTTTAAATGTGTTCAGAGAAGACCATGTTGTGCAGACACAAGTCACAGGTCTGAATGGTTGTTAGAGCCATGCTCCTGCCTCAGGACCATGTGAAGCATAGGCACATTGCCCCCTCAGTGAGATTCAGAAGGCTTTTCTGGTTAACATCTGCACATAAGTATTTCTTAGTTTGTGCATTAAATTATGAAATTTTGGGGGGATAATGAATTATTAATGATGAAAAATTGATCTCATTTACTCAAAATGACTAGAAAGTATACATAAAAATAATGGCAAGAGAAACACAATAGATAACAGCGCCCACTCTAGGTGCAATGTCACTTGTGCTAACAGCTGTTATAAAAATGTCTGCAGCAGATTTATTGGGGCATCACAAGCACAGGAAGAGTCTTTTGACTTCCAAGAAGATGAAATAGCATATAAGTTGTGAATACATAAGTTTTATTCCTATAATCGAAAGTATCTCACCAGTTCAAGAAGTATTTATGAGGCAAATTACTGGAAGAGTACAGAATTAAATTCCGTTTTTATGTGGCACCTTTCATACCCCAAGTACCTCAATAGCTTTTAGAAGTAGAGCAGTCTGCTGACAAGATGACCTGTAGAGGCCATTTCATCTGGCGGCAGGTGCTACAGGCTTACGCTCATAGCCTGGCTTTATGGATACAGAATATTTTCTAATTCCTTCTTTAACAGTTCTATGGCATTGTTACAGTCCATGTGAGCTTCCACCATGGACAAACAGGGAGATGCCAGGCTTTGCACAGCACAGACTTGGAAGTGGGCTTCACAGCTGGCTTTTCCATATCAGGTAACTATTTTTATGTACTTATTATTAAAGATTTACTTTTTAATCATGTGTATGTATCTGTACATCTGAGGTTAGAAGAGGAGACATTTGATCCTCTGGAGCTAAACCACATGGTGTGGGTTCTGGGAACTGAACTCAGTCCTCTGTAAGAGCAGCAAGTGCTCCTAACTTCTGAGCCATCTCTAGCCCCTTAAGCTTTGATTTAGATGCAGACTTTGAAATTATTCCATCTCTGGCCCTGTGATTAATGTATTATTTTACCCCAAACTGATGGGTTTAATGTCAAATGCTATCCAAAGTCCAGGATATGAGGGAACTTGCATTTAATTTTATGAAAAGACAATGTTGAAGTGTTTATGCCTACATGATGAAGAAATGGAAAAGCCAAATGTGCACATACCCACAAAATACAAACACATCATCTTGTCTTTCCTAGTTGGAGAAGGTCCTGGAAGAATACCCAGTCACTTTTTCAATACAACTGTGGGTGGAACCTCAAACTGACCTGTATGGTATTTTACATCACAGACTCTCCTGCAACTGGAGAGTACCAAGAGAAACATGGGCTGAACAGGAACAGCACAAACACAGAGAGCTTACTCTCCGCAGGCAGGAGGCTGGAAACCAGAGCTGGGCCCTTCTCCCAGCCAATTCACCATGTGGTCTTTTTTTTTTTTCCCTATGAATTTTTGATAGATTCCTGCTTTTGTTTTCTTAGGACTATGTGTGTTTTAATTAATTCCAGGTCCAACTTAATTTGTTAGTGGGAGAAGCCTGATACCACTGAGAGGCAAGAGCTTAGTATGGGATGGGGGGAGGGGTGGGGAGTTGTGCAAAGATCTTTGACTCTGCAGTTGGTTGTTTTATCTGAACCACTCCCTTTTTCTTGGTCTTCAATCTTGTTGTCAACTTAAATTTTCTAGTTTATGATTTAGCACTGTTAAAAACATACATTTACTGGTTCAATCTTTTTCCTCATTTTTTCATCCACAATTTCTACTTCTGTGCTATCCTTCAGTGCCTCCAAGATGAGATTAAGGTTTGTGGTGAGAGCTTGCACACGGTGAAAACCAGCAATCAGGGAAATGGGCAGGAATCCCTGCTCATCCATCTTTCTGCGAAGAAAGAAGTCCCGCTCCAAGTTCTCTGTACTGAAGTAATACTCAATTTGGCGCTTAATGTACTCTTTCAGCAGTGTTTCATCCACAGGATAGACCTGCACCCCTGTGCCATCATCGTAGTAATACATCATGCTGGTGTTAAGCTCTGTGGGAAAGGGCTGATCAGTTCTTTCCCCTGGCTCTCGATAACCATAGGAATAATCAAAGTTCAATCTAGGGTTTCCTCGACCTCGGCCTCTTCCCCGGCCCCGGCCTCTTCCTCGGCCTCTTGCGGAACCTCGGATGGTACCACCCTCACTTCTCACACTGGATACTTCATCTTGATCATCTCTCTTTTCTCTATCTCGTCTCCAACTTCGTGTATCACTTTTCCTATTACTGTGAGCTGGTTTATTCGCTTCAGGTTGACATCCCAGGCCCTCCTCCTCGAAATGTGCCACAAACAGACTTCTCTCAGTTGATTGATTGTCCGGAGTTCATACCAGGCCAGGCCTTTGGCTCCCATACAGTCAGGGTGATGATCTACTGATGCTCTTGGATGTCATATGATCGGAATGTACAGTGGAGTAGGTGACTCCCTGAAATACCATGTAAATATGAGAGCAAATCGTGCTGCAGAAATGAAAGTGACCATACTGTCTTCTGTGGAAGAATGTCTACGCCCACCCCCTTGTGGAGAAGGTTGGGCCAGCCTGCAGTGGAGATAACCACCTTTACGATAATGATGTAAGACAGACCAGAGGACTGCTGTTGTTACTGTAGGAGCTTCTCCTTTCTATGTCATTAGCTTAGGCTGCACGGGCTACTTCATGGTGGGAAAGTTAATTGTTATCATTGGGGAAATACTGCAAATTCTATCTTTTGTTTCCAGGCATTTATACTTTGCCCAGATCAATAAAGCAGAAAAAGAGAGGAAAAAAAAAAAAAACAAAAAAAAACATACATTTACTTTGATTTTTTTCTTTCCATGTTTTGTGACTTGCAAACCCCAAAACACAGAACTTTGGTCCACTGTCTGTGCATTTCACTGTTGTGATATTAATGTCTTGTGTGTTGTTTGTTGGAAATGACAGTGCAATCAGAAGATATGTAGACAGGACTGATCAGATACAGTTTGCCTAGGACTTTATCAAAAGCAACATGAAAGTCACCTGCACTGAGGACCCACTTAGACCTGAGCAAAGTGAAATGCTGGTCTCTGCCTTGCTGTGCCAGTGGAAACCATTGGAAAAATTTCCTACTAAGGCTTTGGAGATTTACTCCCTCCTCGCCCTCTGGTGATTTGAAAGAGAATGGCCTCCATAGGCTCATATATTTGAACTATTTGGGAAGGATTAGGAGAGGTGGCCATGTTGGAGGAGGTGTGTCACCAGGAGTGTGCTTTGAGGTTTTAAAAGCTCACAGCAGTCTCACTCTCTCTCTTTGCCTGCCTGTGGATCAGGATGTAAAGCTCTCAGCTATTGCTCTGGTGCTATGCCTGTCTGCTTCCTGCCATGATGATCATGAATGAACCCTCTAAAACTGCAAGCAAGTGCCTATTAAACACTTTCTTGTATAAGAGTTCCTTAGTCAAGCCAGGCAGTGGTGGTGTACGCCTTTAATCCCAACACTCAGGAGGCAGAGCCAGGTAAATCTCTGTGAGTTAGAGGGCAGCCTGGGCTACAGAGTGAGGTCCAGGATAGGCACCAAAACTACACAGAGAAACCCTGTCTCGAAAAAAGCAAAAAGAAAAAAAAAAGTTCCTTAGCCACAGTGACTCTTTACGGCAACAGAGCAGCAGAACAGTAACTAAGACATCCCTTCCCTTGCCCTTCCTAGTTGTGACATCCAGGCCCTTTAAATCTCTTCACATGTCCATTGTATTCATAGGATAAATAAATAGTACTAGAGCACTGGAAAAGGAAGTTCATGTCTAGGGACGTGTTTAGCATGCTCTTGCTTTGCAGATGCAACAAGGGAGTGAATGTTTCAGAGGTGGGAGGACAATGTTCTGTCTGTTCTCTCCTACCATGTGGGTTCTGTCAATCAAACTCACGTCATGAAACTTGGGCTGTAAGCATCTTTATCTGCAGACCCATCTTGCTGGCCACACAATTTTTAATCCTTATGACAAATGTGTTGAATTGGATGTGGTTTTATTTTATGAAAAAGGAAATGAAAGTTTAGATAATCTACATTATCACCAAACACACAGACAATGCTGTTCAGTGTTGGCAGACTGCAGAGCTAGTGTCCTGTCCTTGTCCTGCTTGCCTACTTACTCTAAAGAGTTCAGGCTTATTCCTGGATCAGGTGCCTTAATGTCTTAGATGATGAGAACCCAACAACTCCATCACATGGTCCAGCTAGAGGCCTGGATGGTCCCAGAAGCCTTTGTATCCTGTAAATGCCCTGAGTCCCCATGTTATCTGCACAGTCCTTTCGTTTCCACATTGCATTTTGTCTTGTTTTAATCTGCTCATGTCTTACAGGCTTTCAAGTTCTTTGATGATTGCAACTGAGTTACATGTTTAGCAATAAGCCCCAAAATCCAGCACACCAGTGTTCTATAAACAGGTTCTTATTAAATATTTATTTTACTTGGCAAATGCTGTTTTCTACATGTTGTTATTCAGTTTCTTGCTCAGTTTTGATGTGGCTCTGATCACATGGAAGTCAGAAATGTCAGGGAGTTGGGACTTGGGGACCCAGTTCCTACCTCAGGGTGTGGAGTATGGGGGACAGGGCACAGTCACTAAGCAAAGGAGACTCAAAGGAATGGCCCCGTCTTACTCCTAGTAATAAGGGACACATTTTTTCCCAGGGCCAATTTCAAGTGTTAATCAAGCACATCTTTGTCATAGAATTATATTGGGCCCAGAGCTTGGTCATTTGTTACTTAAATGATTTTGCTTTTCTTTATCATGCCTCAGTATCTCCCAATGGCCATCGGCCCCATGTGTCTCTGACAGAGTTATCTTTTCTCTGCCGCTTCGAACAAGTCATCCCATTACTCAAAACCTTCCCCTGACACACAGACGTCACCAACCCACAGACTTCAAGCCTCAAAGTTCTTTATCAGCTCTGAACATTTTCTCTCTTGCCTCATTTGCTTCTTACTGTTTTGGTGCCATGGTTAAGTAAAAACCAAGCCCTGCCTCCATCTTGGAGTCCTTATCCTGAAAACACTGCCTTGACATGAAGATAATATTTTTTATCCTAAGAACTGACAACTCTAAACATCATCCCTGAGATCTTTGAGACCATGATTTCTTCTCTGACCCCCATGAAAGACAACAGCAGCACATTCACCCTGCAGACCCCAAGCTAGTCCGAGATGGGAGAAACCTCAGATTCCTTTTATAAGTTTCACACTTTTAAAGATGTGGCTTCCGCAATCCAGAACAGAGGACTTTTCCACCCATGAACCTCGCCTGACAGTAACCACAGATGACTGACTGATCTGGCCTCAGTCTTGTCTTCTTGCTTCCCTTCCATGCTGTGGCTTAGGCAGCCTTTTCCGGAGCTCTGAGAGTTCATGTTCCCTCTGCCTGGAGGCCCCAGCCGGCACACCCAATCAGATGTCACCGTGTTTCCAACCCTAGTGCCTGTTGGCAGCATTTTTTGCATTCTGTGTTCACCTCATTACTGTAGTTCTTTCTTTTCTCTCGTTTTTGGGGATGGGAGTTGGTGCAGTGAACTTTCTTGATGATATTCAAAAGAGTAAGGCTCCCTCAAACTGTGAGAGGAGATGGAGTTGAGACAGGGACCTCTTGGCAGCCAAGAATCCCTCTCTTCCTCTCTGTTCCTGTTGGGGTGGGCAGTTCAGGACTGCTTACTCAGCCATTAGGTCCACCACCCTGTGCTGTAGCTGAGTTTGTTGTCGTACCATGAAATGATTTTGATGAGGTGGACCTGAGTCCCTTTAAAGTGCCACGGTTGTCATTGATGACCTTGTGTGTGGGGGAATGGCTATGTGTGTGTGTGTGGGAATGGCTATATGTGTGTGTGGGGGATGGCTAATCAGCTCTAGGTTGGAATTAACAAACTGGCTCAACGAAACTTTCAAAAGGACCCTCACAAGCTCTTACTGTATTTCCTAGAGGAGGCAGAACGCTGCTGAGAGAGGGATACACTGTGTGCTCTGTCAAATCTTCCATCTGACTTATCCAGGGTCATATCCCCTTCAGATGTCCTGGGAAGCTCCATGCTCCACCCTGCACTGACTGGAGAAGATGGGTTTCAGGTTGAAAGAACCTGTTTGTTGATGGAAGCTGTACCAGAATATGAAGAGAGCATGGAGGAGAGTGAAATTCAGAGATGGGAAGCAGAACCTGGATTTCATCTGAACTGGTTGCTAGGCATGGTCAGGGAGACTACACACCCTTCTTCTAATTCTTCAGAGGCCCCTTTGGAGGAGGGAATCTATCTAAAAAATTCAAGTCATAGTTAAACTGCCATAGTGGGAAAAATGGCAGAATGAGATTTGGACTCTGGTCTGTGACACAGAATTCTCATTCTCCTGCCTTCACATCCTGAATTCTGGAATTATGGGCAAGTAACACTACACTTGGTTTATGTGGCATTAAGGATCAAACTCAGGCTTTGTACATGGTACATAAAGTGAGCTCAACCCTGGCTCCCTTTACCCAGTTTTGGGTTGATAGGGGCTTTTTGTGTCATTCGTTATTTTCACTATTTGTGTAGGCACACTATAAATACATAGTCAATGATACCCTATAAATTAATACTCAAGAGGAAAGTAAGATGGCATTGCTTTCAGAGGTCACACATTTGGGACACACACAAAGGCTAGCTTTTTCTTTTTGTCAATTAGACAACAGACAAATCTAGTAAGAAACCATCAAGGGGTCCCAAGGCTGCTACAGTGTGAGGGCAACCTGCTTGCACCTGCCAGTTTGAGGAAGAAAGTGCCAAGTATTGAAACTGAAAACTGGACACAAGATAAGACCTGGGTGCTCAAAGGTCCATCACTCATCATTTGTGAACTTCAAGTGACAATAATGCCTCAGGAGCAATTGCTAATTAAGTCCCTCATTTCTCAGCATCATGCTTTGAAAAATAATTTTTAATATGAGGAAATTTTAACTAATTGTTTGAATTTGTTTAAATTTTTGTCATTTGCATTTTGACAAATATTTGTGAATAGTATGGATAATTAGAGGCTGAATTTAAAAAAAATAGTAATTCTCAAGTAAGGATCAAACAGTTTGTGGCTTTTGACCATTTATAAAATATTCTCCTGTTTGAAGCAAATTGCTTGTCAACATCATTGCAGTCTGGGCAAAGGGGATCTCCAGTATGTCCTCAGGTTATTTACATCGTATCTGAATTGTGGTTACCATTGACGTCCTTGTAAATCAAGCTCATTGGCTTTTTACTTGTTAAATGGAATTGTATAACATACTGTAGGTAATACATTGTTACAAAATCCAGAGCCTTTCATCATGCTTAGTTAGCATGCCTTTCAATCCAT